TCTCAAAAGAACCTGTGTGTGCTGCATGCAAGGTGGGCCCAGCCCAGTACACTTAACAGCTGCCTGTGTCTGGCACACAGCAGTTCCAGGCTGTCTCTTGGCTTTTGAGCCAACAGCATGAGGCAGCCAGACATTTTGGATGATTCTTTGGCTGCACTGGAAAAAGAGAGAGGTCTTCCTGCATGAACAAAATTTTTCTTCTCTAATGGGTTAAGCAGTGACATGGCATCTGGTTACCACAAGGGAGATCTTGGGATGGAAAGAGATTTAAATTGTTGTGTTTTTCTTGACTTTCTTAGCAGGAGAGTGATAAGGCAGAATGAGTTATTGGGATACACAGGTTTCCCCTACATCCTTTTAGCCTCTTGAATTTGTATACCTTTATAGATCTTCCCCACAATGTGAAATCATCTGTTTGATACCTTCTCCCTTCCTCAATACATGCTCATTCTATTATCCTTTATATCTCAAGGACAACTGTGACTGATTTGGTATCATGAATGCCAGGAAACCTGAATCAAGATGTTTTTATATCTTAGAACTGGTCTTAGGAGTTCCCTTATAGTAGTCACAATGATCATTGAAAGGAACGCATAGCTGCTCAGTGAATTGATATGTTGGCCTTTCATTTCCTGTAATTGAAAAATGAGTCCTGCATTTGAGGAGGTTATAGTCCCACCATATTCTGCCTTGCTCATACTACAAGTGAAGAATTTACTCAATTATGGGAATAAACTGTTCTGGACCCAAAAGAGGATGACCAATATAATGAATGTATTGGAGGACATTATACTATAAGAAGATGAGGTGAAGCAAACAGGAAACATTTACCTTGGAGAAGTCTTAGTAGGGAAACAACAACTGCCTTTAATCAGTCAATCAAATATTTATTAAGTGCGTACTATGTGCCACACACCTTCCTAGCCAATGGGGATACAAAGACAGGCAAAATAAAATAAAAACCCATCACTGCTTTCCAGGAGGTTACATACAAACAAAGGTGACTATATAAATGGATGGGTATATTCAAAGTAGGAAGAGAATAAACTTAGAGAAGGCTCAAGTGGCTGTGGGGACCAAGAAGGCCTCTTGCACAAGATAGTGTTTCAGTTTAGTCTTGAAAAAGAAGCCAGTGATGTCAAGAGGCAGAGATGAAGAGGTAGAACATTCCAGGCAAGGTGGGAGATAGCAGAGCAAAATAGAACCTGATCACATAGGCTAATATCAATGTATTGTAAAGAGTATGGAAGTGAGTAATTTGTGAGAAGACTAGAAATAGAAGAAGGGGCCAGCTTGTGGCCAGCTTGTAAAGAGCATTAAATGCCAACTAGAGGACTTTGTTATTTGATCCTGGAAGTAATAGGGAGCCATTGGAATTCATTGAGTAGAGGCGTGACATGGTCAGATCCATGCTTCACGAAGGACAATTTGGAACTATGTAGAACATCGATTTGATTCAAGGGAGACCGAAGGATGAGAGACTAGTTAGAAGACAGTTAAGTGGAAGAAGGCTACAGAAGGTAGAACTAGGAGCATCACATCAAAGTGGCAGAGAGAGAGAGAGAGAGAGAGAGAGAGAGAGAGAGAGAGAGAGAGAGAGAGAGAGAGAGAGAGAGAGAGAGAGAGAGAGAGAGAGAGAGAGAGAGAGAGAGAGAGAGAGAGAGTGATGCCTGGAAAAGCTGACCAATAATTAGGGCTTGTATCCAAAGGCAGAATTGACATACCATTGTCTTTAAGTGGAGACTAAGTGACCCTATGTGGAAGAGTAGATTCTTCTTCAGATACAGGGTGGGTAACATAAGTCTGAATTGTCTTCCAACACCAAAATTCTGTGAAAATATTGAAATTTTGTCTTAATGAATTGTCCATGTTTTAAAAGAAAATCCTTTAAGATAATGTTTGTGGACAATTTTTTTTAACCTACATTAAAGAACTTTAGAACAAGTTTTGGATGATTTCTTAGTAAGAACCACTATACTGAAGTGGACCTGATGCAGAGGCATGGATTGATTGATTGGTATATACACCTTTGCCTCAGTTTTCTCTATCTGAAACAAAATTATAAACCAGGAGCAGTTCACCTAATGCTTCTTCATTCTACCCCTTAGCTATGACTTTGATATGGTTTTGTGGTTTTTGTTTTTGTTTTTTTCCCTTAAGATAATAAAACTCTTTTAATTCTGGTTTAAACTAGTATAAAGAAACCAGATGGAAAACAGTCCCTGTCCTGAAAGAGACTACTGAGGGAAAAGGGCATGCAGGCAGATAAAGCTGGAAGGATAGAACACTAACAACTAAGGGGATTTGGAAAGGCTTCCTGTAGGAGGTAGCTTTGAGGTGATCCTTGAAGGAAAGCTAATCCTCAGTTTATTGTTTGAATGCTGTAGGGAGTATTCTATGTGATCTCCTATTCCCACGCCTGGACGGCACTCCTCCCCCTTTATTTCCACCTTATAAAGTCCCTTTCTTCCTGCAAGATTCAGCTGTGCATCTCTTCTGTATGAAGCCTTTCCTGATTCCCCCCAACTAGTAGTACCTGAATTATTCTCTAAACTACCTTGTATTTCTTTGCATTTGTTCTCTTTATATTACACACACACACAACACACACACACACACACACACACTAAAATAAATATTTGTTGTATTTATCGTTAGAATGTAAGCTATTTGAGAGTATGAATTGTTTCATTCTTTGTGTTTGTATCCCCAGTACATAAAATAGTGCCTGGCACATAGTAGGTGCTTAAAAGATTTTTTTAAAAAATGGCTTTATATTTCAGATATGGCATGAGCACTTCGTATATCCACTCCCATCATGGCTTGTCATTAGTTGACCTGGGACAGTGCTGTAATCTTGAGTAACTTGAAAATCTAGTTCTACTTAGGCCTTTTTTTTTTTCTTATTCTGGTTCCCATCATGGATTTATATGTAATTCCGAGTCCTGATTATTGGGAATAGAAGATGTAGTTGGTAGATGCGTTGGGTTATGTTTTCACACAGTCTTAGGCGCAAGAGTTCATGCCTGGCATCTTGAAAACTTATGCTTAAAAGAGGAGGTGGTTTTCTCGAGCTCAGCCAGCTCAAGACATGGTCTGCAGTGGGAATGCAGTTGGTTGGTCCCAGATGGAACAGCCTGGCCCATCTTTTTCTTTTTTTCTGAAATGCTTTTGCAGGCCAACCTCCCCCTTCTACAACGGGAGCTTCTGCACTGCGCAAGACTGGCCAAACAGAACCCTGCCCAGTACCTCGCTCAACACGAACAGCTGCTCCTGGATGCCAACACCACCTCACCTGTTGATTCCTCAGAGCTGCTTCTCGATGTGAACGAAAACGGGAAGAGGCGAACTCCAGACAGGTGAGAATGAGAGTGATCGAGAGAAATCCACAGAAGGAGATGGCCGTTTTGTGTTCTTGAAGGAGTCAGTGGTGCTACTGTGGGTCATTGGATCATAGTATCATAAATACAAAGCTTGAAGGGTTCTAGGAAGGCTAGCTGATTCTGAGGGTCAGGGTTGCCTTGGACTCCTGACGCCTGGAGTTTGGACAAATTCTTTGTTATTAAAGTTGAAAAATACACGTATGAATCTTACTGTGTTATTCTCTAACATTGTAGGGGGTGGGTTACCATTAATCTAGGGGGGATAAGAAGCACTGGATGCAGAGTTAGTAGAAACTTGAATTCGAATCCCAGTTTAGGATGCTTATGAGCTCTGTGACCATGGGCAAGAGCCTTTAGCCCACCTGCATCTCATTTTCTTCCTATGTAAAATTAGGAGAATAATATGTTATACCTTCCCAATGCAATTATTGTGAGGATCAGATGAGCAAAACCATATAAAGTACTTTGTAAACTTTAAAAGTCTAATTTTGACCCTTTTTCCTCCTTTTTTTCCTGAATGCCTCTTGTAGCAGCAAAAAATATAATAACTTTTAACTCTTAGTCTCCACGTTAGAAGGAAGATAGTGGTTGCCTTTGTTTGACCTAAGACATTATTTCTCTTTTCTTACTTGTCTTTAGTCTATGGAAACAGGATGGATTAGAGGCACTTACAGAGTGTTGTGGTATTACTAGTGAGGCTTCCCCCCCTCCCCCCAAATCACTCTAGATTTATGCACAAATCACTGTGATTGGAAACATATATATGTATTTTTCTGCTAATCTATGCTTCTGCCAAACCGGACTATTTACTTTTTCCTGTACATATCCTTTGTCTTGCCACCTCAATGCCTTTAATCATCTCTTTTTCTTCATCTGTATCTGTTGAGATCCTGGCCATCTTGAAAACCAAAATAAGATGCCCTCTTTTCCTTTCAGTCTTCCTAATTTCTCTCAAATGGTGTTCTCCCACTGCCTCCTCTTCAGGTTGTAATTTTCCATTGTCAGTCAAACCTTTGTACTTGTCTTATTTATCATATTTTATCTTCTGTTATTTATGCATATATTTTTATTCCACCCATCAAAATGAAAACTTCTTGAGGTGGAGGATTGTGTTTTGTGCATTTATGCATATTAGTATAAAGAGAATACAGTTGGTGAGAGAACTCTGCTGAAAGGCATTGGAAGCTTTTAAGTTTGCCAGCTGCTTGGCCACATAGAGATGTTAAAATTAACAACTTTGTTACTCATTTTTATCATACAATTATTATCAGCTCAGTCTTTGAAATTTTGTTGGTATTTTCAAAATTATTACAGGTCTTTTCTGAGATAGACTTTTGCTTTACTCATTTCTCAATAGTTTTCTTTTTCTTTGTGTCCCTAGCATTTAACCTAATGGATGGCACATAAGTGCTTGATTAAAGTCTTTTTGTTAATTGATTGATTAAGTATCAGAACACTTCTTACATATTGTGAACCTGACATTCTGAACCATCTTCAATTTCCCATCACCAGTAATTTATTTCTGCAAATATTTTTTGGTCACATTTGAGTTTGCAATGAACCTTGTACCCTTTACCACTTTTACCACAGCTGTCCTGTATTCAGAAACATTTAGTGGCTTCTCATTGTTTGTCTAGTACAGTATCAGTCTTGAGGCTGGCATTCAAGACTCCATCATCTAAGTCAGACCTGCCATTTTGGCCATTTTTCTTAAACTCTTTCTTATTTTTGTGTTTCACCTAAACTAGGTTCAGGTCTGTCTTGCCCTGCTTAGTTTCCTGTCTTCTCCCGTATCCTTGGGTGTGCTTTGAGTACATTTATTTCCCTGTATCTGAAATGTACTAACTTTATATCATATTTACATATTGAAAACCCTTTTTTCCTTTTAATACTCTACTTAGATGAAATCACTGGGGAAGGTTTTTTTTTGTTTGTTGCTGTTGGTTTGCCTTCTTTTTTGGGGGCAATTGGGGTTAAGTGACTTGCCCAGGGTCACACAGCTAGTAAGTGTCAGGTGTTTGGTCTGAGGCTGGATTTGAACTCAGGTCCTCCTGACTTCAGGGCCAGTGCTCTATCCACTGCACCACCTGGCTGCCTCTATAGATGCTTACCTTCTTGAAGAAGACTTTTCTCTCCCATGTCATGATATGTATAAGTGATTCTTTAGGTAGATTAGTAGTGTAGTACCTAGAGTTCTAGACTCTGAGTCAGAACCTCTTGGGTTCAAATCCTGTGTTTGACACTAGCTGTATGATGGTTAGCAATACATTTATACTTTCAAATACTTGCTTTTCTGATCTTTAAAGTTGGTGGGAGGAGGGAGCATTGTACTAGATGGCCTCTAAAGTCCTTTCCAATTCTAAATTTGTGGTCCCTTATTCTTTTCCCTATTGGAAGCTCTTTGAGAACAGTCTGTGTTGTGTAGATCTTTTTCTCTTTAGAATCTAGCAGTGTGTGCTGTAGGTGCTTAATAAAATGGAACATGTGAAAAGCATTCGTGCTAGTAACTAAGAGTAATATTTTTGTGATATCAAAGTGAGGAAGCTAAACTATCTTAGAGACAGATCATCCCCAAATGTTGAATTGATCTAAAACCTAGCAAGTCACACATGCAGATAGTAGATTGAGGATGGCGACCATGGAATTTCAGAGTTGGATGGCACCTTAGAAACCATCCAGTCCAACCTGAACACAAATCCAAATCCTCCCTATGACATATCCCCAAAGTGGCCATCTGTACTTTTTTTGAAGACCTCTGATGAGGGTGACCATACTTTCTTGTGAAACAGCACATTTCTACTTTGTGATAGCTTTAGTTGTTAGAGCATATTTTTTCCTTATGCCATTTCAAAGTCTTCTCGTTAATTTTGAACAGTTATTCCATTTGGGCCCGTTGGCCTCAATCAGAAAAATAAATTAAGTCCCTATTTCATCTATCTTCCCAGATACTTGATGCTGACAGCTATCATGACTTTGCTGAGTCTTCTTTTCTCTAGGCTAAACATGTCCAGTTCCTGCTACTGGTCATCTGGGACATGACCTTCAGGATACCCTGTATCTTGATGACTCTTCTCCAATTCCAAATATGGTCTAATTGTCTAATGGACAGAATCCAGCAGGACTATCATCAGCCTAGTTTTGGATTCTACACTTTGCTGAATGCAACTGGTGATCACATTAGGGTTGTTTTGTTCTGGGTTTTTTTTTTCTTGGCATCTACTTCCTAACCCCCAGACCTTTTTCAAATAAACTCCTTTTGAGGTATGTCTCCTGTATCTTGTATTTGTTAAAAAACCATTTTGGGAGTAACTGTGTGTGAGGTTTTTTTTTTGCATTTGTCTCAATTAGGTTTCTTCTTAATAGATTTGACTTACTGTTCTAATCTTTCAGAATCTTCTTGTATCCCAAGAGTTTTCCTGTGTGTTACCTCTCTATCTCAATTTATGGCTTCTCCCACTTCAATAAGTACGCCGTCTATGGCATTATTCAAGTCATTGATAAAAGCGTTGAATAGCCCAGAGCCAAGCACAGATCCTTGTGGCTCTCTCCTGGGGACTTCTATCCAAGTTGACATCAAATCATTAATGACTGCTCTTTCGGTATGGTCATTCAACCAGTTCAGGAGCCACCTAGCAGTTCTATCATCTAGCTCACATCTAGAATACCTATTGACATAGGTATTCTACTGTTCCATTAGAAAAGAGGATCATGTGTTTGACACAAGAAAGGTATAGGTCATGAGATGATGAGGCTGAGACAATCAAAGTAAGTATGAGTATTCTGTAATCAGAGGTATTCCAGAGCAGACAACCTAAGTGAATCATAGTTTGGAATTCCCTCCCTGTTCTCCAGTGATCATAAACTTTATTGATATATAACTTGGATTTAGGCTTTCTTCATAATAAAATTTGCATTGGGAACCCCATGTAAAAGCTAGCCATAATGCTACAGTAGTGGGAAACTATATCTTCAATTTTATAAGAGTAACTAATTCTTCCCAAAATTATATTTTAATGAAAAATGATAGCTATGGATACTAGTATTTATGCATACAAAATTCTCCTATAGTTTGGGGAGAAGCTGACATCTCTTTTTTTCCTCGTACATGAGTGGCACCCAAAGTTAAGGTTTACACAGTGATCTCTGGGCTGAACTTACATCACTGTACTGTAATTCTGAATATATATTATGAAGGCAAGATGCTAAATGAGTCTCGCTCTTCCTCCCATCCCCTCAGAGTTAGAAGGAGGGGTGATGAGAATGTGTTGTGTAAATACATTTGTATCTTATGGGAATTTGAGCAGATCCAAGAAAATATGGTCCTTGACAGCATTTTTTTTTGTTTTGCATACATTTTCTACATCTTGTTTGCATTTGCATTTTCCCTTTTGCTAGTTATTTATCTATACATCCAAATCTACAGTATGAAATTTTATGGAGTATAGAAGTGTCTGACAGCAAAGCTTTTTGCTTTTTGTTTGTTTGGTTGGTTGGTTGGTTTTTTTTAGGGGGGAGGTTTTTTGGTTTTTGTTTTGTTTTACTGAATGTTTTGTTGGTGCATATGGTCTGACATGGATGAGCAGCCACGGTGAGATTTTGGAGTCTATTAAACTGGCTCATTAAAAAGATCAATCTGTTTCTGCAATAACACTGGGAGCCGTCAGTCACTTACAGAGGGAAGAAACTGACACCTGAGGAGGAGAAACACATTTGGGTAATTTGTTCCTGACATGTCATGGACAAAAGTGCTCCTTTTATTTTTGTTTACAGCTTCGGAGACTTCAATCCTGAGACTGCTGATTTAATCTATTAGTCAGTCTTCAGCTTTTGGGAAAGAAGTTTTGGCAAATTGAATCTACTTCTGGTTTTCTACTTACCTTGAATAGGAGAGTGACTGGTTATGTTTTATTTAACAATTAGTGTTATTTACAGAGAAGTGAGTCTTCTAGGGTCATTGATGAAAACGATTTTCTCAG